CTTTAATATGAGGGCTATGAGCCAGCTTCTGAAAACGTGGATGCTATCCCGAAACACGGAATGCCCGATGAGAATCCAAAATATCACATTGAACTTCGGTTGAAAAATCTGACTAAAATCACCAAAACACCCAATAATTGAAATACCGCTCTACACCGTAACAAAAATTAGTACATATTTGGCATTAGTATTAAACTACCGAAAGGAAAAAAATTTAAAACCCTATTATGGTCGATAAAATAGTACACTTTCAGAAAATATAAAAATTAGTAAGTTGTACTCGATTTAGCAGGATTCGTGCATCAACGCTACATAAACATATGTTCGAAAGAAATGCTGACTAAGCTAACTAATTGAAGATGTAGGACCAATTATTATTCATTTATAGTACATACATAGAAATTCATAAATCCTTATTAAGTTATATTGTGAAGCTAAATTAAAATTTATTTATTTTAACAATAAAAAGATCCGTTAACGACGTAGCGGGCCTATGCTAGTTTTGTATAAAATAAATAACAAAATATTTGACTGGTGGTATGAATTAAGAATAGCGCTGTGTGAACGGCTTTATTCTAAGTCGAACAACGTTGCTTAAATACCCGTCAGTCAATTAACGACTGATGGAAAAACATCGAATTGCGCTGGATAAATCTTACTAGGAGGAATTGACCCAGTAACATTCAGCAAGTTTTTAGCGTAGAACTGTCAAACCATCTCTCTTTTCTCTATTTTACTGGATGTTGGAGTAAACAAACAACATCCAGTAACATTTGGTAACAATTGTTACCAGATATCGAGTAAACAAGGACAGCTAATGTTTGCCCTATTTTGTAATATGATGCAGTGCATATGCTTATAACATGCATGGATTTTTATAATTAGCATATCAATTTGAATATATGTATATTTAAGTACATCTTATGCCTAGTTCAATTTCCTGATACATGTTCAAGTGAAAATATAGAAACGAAATATAGTCATATAACTTATGACTATATTTTTCTAAAAAAAAAAATTTTGACCTGGGATATACTGAAAAATGTTCCAAATGTACCAGAAATTCGCTAGAACTATTAGAAAGCTATAAATATGTATGCCTTAAAACAAATATACTATCCTAACCACTAAAGGTTTACACCCCATTTTAACATATTAAAATTTCAGTTTCGAATCTCTCTAACTCCCACCAACCAAAGGCTACAGACTAAGTGGTCTTTATAAAGACATGTGGTCTCATCAGGCCTGTGCTATATATACACTTCCAATAGGTCTCTTTATAGACCAATTGATATTTATAAAGGCCTTTGGTCTCTATACAGACCAATTCGACTATATAAACCCCTGTGTTCCATATACATACATACCAATTGGTTTTTATAAACACATGAGGTCTCAATACAGACCCCAATTTTAAATGGAAGTATGTTTATAAATACAATCGAAAGAGTATGGGTTGACATCAGATGGAGGTTAAGAAATGAACCCCAAATGAATGAAGGAAATATTAAACATTAATAAATTAAATGAATAATGGAATAAATGCATATAAATACAAGAAAAACTAAGGCAATGAATTTTGGATTGAAAAGTGGTGAAGAATTATTAATCAAATTTTATTACATTGATATAGAATTTGTTTACAGTATAAAATGCCTGGGTTTAACTATTGGCAAGCATCTTAACTTACGCGGACGACGTGGTGATATTGATTTCCGGAAAATTTCCGTCTACAATTTCGGAGCCTATGCAAAGAGCCTTACTGACGCCGTCACGCTGGGCCAGGGCAAATGGTCTTGGTGTAAATCCAACGAAGACAGAACTGGTAATGTTCACTAGGAAGCGTAAGCTCGGCGTTTTTGCTCCAGCAACACTGGATGGAGTGCAACTTCACCTATCTCCCGAAGCAAAGTACCAAGCTTAAATGTTCCCGGGGAACATACCAGATCAATTTTTCTTTTATTATTCATTTTATTTTTAATATTAAGTGCAATACAAATAATTGTGTTCGTCCTTTATTTATGGTTTATTTTGGCGCAAATCAAATGTTTTCTGGAATCAGCTGTTTATTTGCTAAATCTTACTAAATGTTGTCTGTTTACTTTTTTCAGTATTTTCCCAAAATATAGTAAAAAAGGCTTACTCTCTGAACTAGAACTTACTGAATAAATGTTACTGGAAAAGTAACCAGACACACCTATTAATTAAAGTAGTGTTGGCGGCAGTGCTACCGCTAGGAATTTTAAAAAAGTTGCACAAAAAGTCGTTCCCTTGAAAAAGGGTCGCACAGAAAAGTAAAATTGTTGTATAGAACAAATGTCGCACAAAGCTTAAAAAGTTGCAAACAGAGATACAGGGCATTAAAAAGGTTGCAAATTGCGACATTACTCGCAGAACGGTAACCCTGGTTGGGATACCATTTGTATTTTGTTTTTTTGCAAAATAGTCAGGCTGAATCTCAGTTTCTTGTTTTTATAAAAAAAAACTATTTATTAGTGGGGAATGTATGGCATTGTTTGCCGAGGGGTAAGGCAGGGAAGACTAGAGGCTATTGCTTCTATACAAAAAACCTTTCATAGCCAAATGTCTCTTGTAACAAAGCGAAGTACATAGCTGACCAACGACATAAACTGCATGTGAATTTCGCTGGTGCCTCACTTCGAGGTTAACAAGGCATTTACAAACAATTCCTTACCTTTCCCACTGTTGTGTGTTGTCACATTGCGACAAATGCACACAACGACTTTGTTGGTGTTGCTATAGTTTCGAATGCCATACATTCCCCACTAATAAATAGTTGTTTTTTATAACAACAACAAACTGGGATTCAGCCTGACTATTTTTTAAAAACAAAATACAAATGGTATCCCAAATAAACCGCCAACACTAATGAAGTTGTAGACGCAGGCGCGGCTAAACTGTTTGGTTTGTTGCTGTATACTAGCAACACCAACAAAGTCGTTGTGTGCATTTGTCGCGATGTGACAACACACAACAGTGGGAAAGGTATGGAATTGTTTCTAAAGGCAAACTTTTTCACTTTTCTGCGCTCCAATTGGCACATACGTTTGAAGGCCTTGGGTGAAACCATTCCACAAGTAATTGGTCAAGCTCCACGAATTAACCTGCCTTTTCAGTACGGATGCTGGGCATTCCCATGATGATGATGTTTGCCGAGGGGTAAGGCAGGGAAGACTAGAGGCTATTGCTTCTATACAAAAAACCTTTCATAGCCAAATGTCTCTTGTAACAAAGCGAAGTACATAGCTGACCAACGACATAAACTGCATGTGAATTTCGCTGGTGCCTCACTTCGAGGTTAACAAGGCATTTACAAACAATTCCTTACCTTTCCCACTGTTGTGTGTTGTCACATTGCGACAAATGCACACAACGACTTTGTTGGTGTTGCTATAGTTTCGAATGCCATACATTCCCCACTAATAAATAGTTGTTTTTTATAACAACAACAAACTGGGATTCAGCCTGACTATTTTTTAAAAACAAAATACAAATGGTATCCCAAATAAACCGCCAACACTAATGAAGTTGTAGACGCAGGCGCGGCTAAACTGTTTGGTTTGTTGCTGTATACTAGCAACACCAACAAAGTCGTTGTGTGCATTTGTCGCGATGTGACAACACACAACAGTGGGAAAGGTATGGAATTGTTTCTAAAGGCAAACTTTTTCACTTTTCTGCGCTCCAATTGGCACATACGTTTGAAGGCCTTGGGTGAAACCATTCCACAAGTAATTGGTCAAGCTCCACGAATTAACCTGCCTTTTCAGTACGGATGCTGGGCATTCCCATGATGACCTCCCTCTTTTGAAGAATAGATGTGAGCACAGACGGAGAGAAGTGGTAGCAATTCGCCATATCAATTTTTTCACAATTGTTGACTGCATTTATGATGTCAAGCGCCTTGTAGTGCGACCGTTTTAGTGATCCCGATCGATCAACGTAAGAACAATGAGAGTTAGAGAAAGGCACACACAAAAACAAATGCTTTGCCACTTTAGAGCAGTGAATTACTAGTCAGTGCATTACCGTTAATTTCATATAATAAACACAAGAAACTCGTGTTTACTCCAAAGAAAGATTTTTTACAGTAAATTTATGTTTGCAACAGAGATTTTTCATTTTGTACCAGCGAGATCCCTACTCACCTAAGATTGACTTTGGCCCTCTTCATTCTGGAAAATAATATTGAAATAAAACTACAATGTGAAAAATAGAATTCAAATTTTATTAAGTTCAACGGAAACACAAAACAATAAAATTAGTTTAGAATGAGATTGACCACTGCAATGTGATATGAAACTCAACACGAAGATATCTGCTCCAATGAGTATATATATATATATATATATATATTTATTATTTATGCTAATTTTTGCTAGAAGATATATAAAAATACAATTTTTCATTTCATTATTTTTAGCGAACACTTTGCCACATTTCAATACTCGAAGAATGTCTAATTTCAAGATTACAGAGATGGAAGGAGATCTCTTCAGTGCTCCAGATTTGTATTCATTAGCCCACTGTGTGGCAGCTGACTTTGGAATGGGAGCTGGTATCGCTGTGAAGTTTAAGCAACTCTATGGGGGAGTTAATGAACTACTCGCACAAGCTGTTCAAACCGGAGGTGTTGCTGTACTTAAAGACAATAAGAGATTCATATATTCTTTGGTAACTAAAGACCAAAGTTGGGACAAACCAACCTATAGTAGTTTACGAAGTTCACTGGAAGAAATGCGTAAACACTTGGTATGAATATATGCATACAGTGAATCAATAAAGTATTTTGCTTCTTGTCAATAATTACAACATTTTATATAAACGCCTACCCTAACTGAAGGAAGATACGTGAAGTATTTTTGATGTAATATATATATATATTATTTATGCTAATTTTTGCTAGAAGATATATAAAAATACAATTTTTCATTTCATTATTTTTAGCGAACTCTTTGCCACATTTCAATACTCGAAGAATGTCTAATTTCAAGATTACAGAGATGGAAGGAGATCTCTTCAGTGCTCCAGATTTGTATTCATTAGCCCACTGTGTGGCAGCTGACTTTGGAATGGGAGCTGGTATCGCTGTGAAGTTTAAGCAACTCTATGGGGGAGTTAATGAACTACTCGCACAAGCTGTTCAAACCGGAGGTGTTGCTGTACTTAAAGACAATAAGAGATTCATATATTATTTGGTAACTAAAGACCAAAGTTGGGACAAACCAACCTATAGTAGTTTACGAAGTTCACTGGAAGAAATGCGTAAACACTTGGTATGAATATATGCATACAGTGAATCAATAAAGTATTTTGCTTCTTGTCAATAATTACAACATTTTATATAAACGCCTAGCCTAACTGAAGGAAGATACGTGAAGTATTTTTGATGTAATACATTCGATGGTATGCTCACTTTTATTTCCTATAATAAAAATACGGAAGACTTTTTCATTATCAATATACAGAAAAAAAAACACAACAAAAACTCAAACAAATTGATATCAAAAAAATATTTTACTTTGTGTTATATATCATTTATAATATATCATCCAATGCTTTACGTCGTTTTCATGTCGAAACATAGACTAATTTTTTGAACACGAGATGATTTTTTCAACACAAAAAGATACACCGACATGAAATAAAGCTCAGGAAACAGCGTTAGGCGCATAGATATTGAAATTGTATAAATTTCTACAAGAAGCAAAGTGCTTATTTGAATCACGAACTTGTTTTTTATTGAATAACTACCAGTTAATATTTACAGAAATCCAACAATGTTGAAAAGTTAGCCATGCCACGTATAGGATGCGGTATTGATGGCCTCGAATGGGATAAAGTAAATGCAGAACTAATCGAAGTTTTTAAAAATGAAAATGTACAAATCGTGGTATACAACTTTGTACCAAAGTAGGAAATAAAATACAATTTTGATATATGTGATTTTATTTATTTAGAAATTGATGTAGGTGAATAATTGAAAATTACGATGCTTACGGGATCATTGGAAAATACCTCTTCAATTAAATCTTTAACTTTGTGCCACGTCAATCCATCCAATCCACAGCCAATCCTTGGCATTGCCAGTTTAGTCACGTCGTGCTCGATCTAACAACATTTTTATTTATATATGTTAAATAATAAATTGTATTAGAATATAATTGTACTTGCCATGTGATTTCTCATAGATACTAATGAGCTGTGTAATAATTGATATGTCGGTTTTCCCCAGCTGGTTTCCTTAGTAACTAAATTGTAAATATATCTTGAATTATGAGGTAAAATGGCCACTCCTCCTGGTTTAACGTTTTGTTTTTGTAAAAGTGAAATACTTCCAAATTTACTCCTTTAATTAAACAGAAAATATTTTACAAATTTATAACAGATGTTCATTTTAGTCATTTTAAAAAAGTAAAAGTCGAAATATATGATTAATACAATAGCGGTATGCAAAACAGAAGCAAATAAAACTTAATATGAGCTAATATACTATCGACAACCATATTTGCAATGAATAAATTTTTTTCTGCCTAAAGTTTGAAATTAAAATTTTTACTTATTTATTATTTCAATTATGAAAGACTGGGCATTTGTCTTTCGACCTGAAGGATTGTGGCTACTCTAGGGGAAGTCAAAGGGATGGTAATCTACTTTAAAATTATAATATTAGATATAACAAAAACAAAATAATATAATAACGAAATTTCATTGCATTATTAAATATAGTAACTTAAATATATGTATAGAGGGATATGGGTTTCTAAAATATGTATATATATCCGTTATAAAACCTAATTAAAATACAATTAATACACAATCCAGTTTTTATACCCTTCACCACACTGTGGTACATGGTATTATGTCTTTGTGCATATGTTTGTAACAGGCAAAAGGAAACAAGATAGACACATGGTTCCTCTTGAGAATATGCATAGAATCACTTTTTAAGTCGATTTATGCATGTCCGTCCGTCCGTCTGTAGATGTTAAATTGTAAACAAAGTACAGGTCGCATTTATGATCCGATTTGGATGAAATTTGGCACAAGTCACTTATTTGGCCCAAGGACGAACCCTATTGAAATTGGGAAAAATCGGTTCAGATTTAGAAGTAGCTCCCATATATATTTTCGTCCGATTTGTTGTAAGTGGTGCACCAAAGTCCCTGTATATCTTTCGATTTGCACGAAATTTGGCACAGAGTACTGAATTAGGTCCAGAATGATGTGTGGCAAGTTTCGAGAAAATCGGTTCAGATTTAGATATACCTCCCATATATATTTTCGTCCGATTTAAGGTAAATGGGGCACCAAAGTCCCTATATATCTTTCGATTTGCACGAAATTTGGCACAGAGTACTGAATTAGGTCCAAAATGATGTGTGCCAAGAAAATCGGTTCAGATTTAGATATAGCTCCCATATATAGTTTCGTCCGATTTACGGTAAATGGTGCATCAAAGTCGCTGTATGGCATTCGATTTGCTCGAAATTTGACAAAGAGTACTGAATTAGGTCCAGAATGATGTGTGCCAAGTTTCGAGAAAATCGGTTCAGAGTTAGGTATAACTCCCATATATAGTTTTGCCCGATTTTATGTAAATAGTGCTCCAAAGTCCTTATATACCTTTCGATTTGCATGAAATTTGACATAGAGTACTAAATTAGGTCCAGAATGATGTGTGCCAAGTTTCGAGAAAATCTGTTCAGATTTAGATATAACTTCCATATATAGTTTTGTCCGATTTTATGTAAATGGTGCACCAAAGTCCCTATATATCCTTCGATTTGCACGAAATGTGTATTTATAAGTAAATGAAGAACTCAAGATGTGGCCGAATGCAAAAAACATATTGAAATAAGTGTAACCTAACATGTGACAAGTTTCGATGAAATCGGTTTAGATTTTGATATTTTGATTTAAATTTATTTACATAATTTTGTCCTATTGTAAGAAGCAACTCTATATGTGACCAAAATTTAGTATATGTTGCAGAATAACATGTTTAATTTCATGTTAATGGTCCTTCAAAAATGCGACGTCTTTTAGGATTCCATCTGATGAATATACCCAAAGTGGTGAAGGGTATCATATATTCGGCCCCGACCGACTTTACTACTTTCCTTATTGGTTGTTTTTGATTAATTGGATAATGTCTATCAAAATCAAGAGGGAGAGATGATAAACTACTCAATACCATATTACAACATTTCTAACGGTTGAATGGCAAAATTGTATATTTGAATTGTATGTATTTCTACAAATACAATCAAAATTGTCTTGGCAACCCTGTCGTGAATGTTCACTAATTTTGTGGTGCTCTGTGCTCGTTTAAAAAATATTTAATTTCTAACAATATAATCTGTGTTTTTGTGGTAACGGTGTTTAAAAGTGTTGTGAAATAATTTTTGTGCATTTTGATATAATTGGAAGTGTGAAATATAACATATTTTTCCTAATATTAATTAATCTTTTTAATTCTTATTGGCATTTTGATTCCATTCCCAATTTGTTCCTTTGTTGCATTAGCTTATATTGTTGTTGTAACATTTCTTTTATTTTTATTTTGTTTTGTTATTTTGACATCTCAAAACAGAGTTGCCAAATTGTGTGTTTCATAAGAAATTCAAGGGATAGAAATTCCAGTAAATTCATAAATTATTTAAAAAAAAAATAATAATAATAAAAATAATAATTTTTAAAAATGGTTTGTCCTTACGAGTTATGTAATATTTCCGTAGATGATGAGTTGTGTGTCACTTGCTGGTTTTGCCTTAATCAATGGCACGTTAAATGTGCTCGAATTAATGCAAAAGTAGTGGACACAATTAGGGATAATGTTGGTGTCCGTTGGTGCTGTGTCCATTGTCGAAAACTTTCAGCTGACTTTTATAACTTTGTAAAAGACTTGCAGTCGGAGCTTAGTTCGATGAAAAAGGAATTTACATCGTTATCAAAACGATTTGAGAATTTTTCGAATTTGTTCGACAAGTACCAAGAGCTTGATGAATTTGTATCATCACCGTCTGTGTCTGGGCAGAAACGTAAAAGGTCTGCGAAAAAGGCTCCCAATAAAGTCGTGCCTAGTCGCAAACCCACAGTTTCTGTTGGGAATACAGTGCCACAATCACCTTCCGTCAATATCACAGATACAACGGAAACTGATTGTGTCCAGACATATGCTAGTGTTGCGTCACATTCGGCCTCGGAAATCGTTAAGGATGTAAATGAAGTGATTAATCCAAAATCTGTGAGTATAAGTAGTGCTAGTCTGGAAAAGACTTCAAAACCTACTCACGGAAATCGGGAATCATCAGCTCAATCATCTAATGCGTCTTCCGTAGCTGGCACTAGCAATTCCCTCCAACCTGGTCAGATACCTCGGCTGAGGATATAAATTATTATATAAAATCAAAAATCGATGGAAATTTCTTTCTACGTTGTTATAAGCTCCGGTCTGCTTTCTCAGAAAGTAGATCATCTTTTAAAATCGTAGTAGAAGAAAGTATGTTTCATCGACTAATTTCGAGAGAATTTTGGCCTGCTAATGCATTTGTAAAGGAATTTCTGGAAAGATCTGAAAATTTAGCTCATTTGCCTCAGAGGGCTGAAATATTGCCAAAAAACTAAATATGTTTCTCAATGTTTGCTATCAGAATGTAAGAGGGTTAAACACAAAATTAACTCGATTATTCTCTGATAGCCTTGGGTTTAATTATGATGTTATAGTATTTTCTGAAACTTGGTTAAAACCATCCGTGTTAAATAGTGAAATTTTGTGTTCTAGATATCAAATATTTAGAAAAGATAGAGTTCTTAAAAAAGGTGGTGGCGTCCTTATTGCAGTTGATGCCAAATATTCCACTAATTTAATTGAATTAAACTGTTTTGATATCGAATTTATTTGCATATCCATTGAATTAGAAAATTTTAAATTATTTGTGACTTGCTCATACATTCCTCCCTCATCGCAACTTGATATTTATAATCAGCATTTGTTAGCAATAAATTCAATCACTAACAAAATGAATGACTCTGACAAAATATTAGTTCTCGGCGATTTTAATCTGCCGTCCGTAAAGTGGCTTTCATTGCCAGATTCTGAGGCTCTAACACCTTTGACATCTGATGCAAATGTAAACTTATATACCTTTGAAATTGTAAATCGTTTTAGCGACATAAATCTTTATCAAATAAATAGCGTATCAAATTGTTATGATCGAATTCTAGATCTAGCATTTGTGAATTATACACAATATTTTGAAATTATTAGAATACCTCCAGTATGTACTCCCGAAGATAACTACCATCCTACATTATGCATATCCATGATGCATAATAATTTAGCTACCAACAATTCTTTAATATCATTTAAATCTGTTCCCAATTATAATAAAACTGACTTCCGAAAGCTAAACGCACTTATCTCAAACGTAAATTGGAGCACATTATTTATTTGTAAGAGTCATATTGATCTAGAATTATCAGTATATAAATTTTATGATATCCTAAATAAATTTATTCTAGAATGTGTTCCCATTGTTAGAGTTAGAAACTCGGAACGATATCCATGGGTCACATCTGGCCTTTCAAGTATTAAAAATTATAAAAATAAACTTTTTAAAAAATATAAAAAATCAGGCTCATCTATAGATTATGCTAAATATGCTGTCGCAAGGTCTAAATATACGTCAGAGTCCCGAAAACTTTACAATCTTTATTTAAACAAGATTAAACTTAATTTCAAATCCAATCCTAAATCTTTTTATGACTTTGTTAATATAAAAAGAAAAGCTACGTCATAAAAATGTCAGCTGCATTGCCAGGTTCATCGAAGAAAAGAGATTAAGAAATGACACAAAACCTACTAGTTTCTGACTGAAGATATACTCTTTCGGCTAAGTCTATGTTTTGCCTTGCATTGGATATAACGAAGTCTTTCTATAACGAACTAATTTGCCTGGTGCCTATTAGTTCGCTATATCCGTACTCGACTGTATATTAGTTTTTAAAAATGAGGTATGAGGGTCGTACCTAAATTCATGCGTATGCGTACGATTTTATTCACTTCAAAAGTTAAATACACGTATTTCAGTGAATGCTACCCAAATACGCAATGCGTACAAAAATATAATGTTGAAAATTTTCAACATTGACAATGCGTATTTTGAAATTTGTCTTTTTGTAAATTTTAAAAATAAAATGTTTTTTTAATAACTGTTAATATTTTTCGGTTAATCAAGAAAATATTTTCATCCATTTTCGCCACTTTCAATTGACACACAAGTAAATAAGGTCCTTGCGTATTTGGGTAATACGGATGTTCAACAAAACCTATATAGATGAGAAGCATGGCATAATTATATATAAGGTCGGACAGTAAGCACAGGTGAATATAAAGTTCGCTGCCAAATCATATTTTGAAACCTATACAAAAGGACGGAACTACAGAAAAATTCGAAATTGACTTTTTGTTTGATTTTATTCACTTCAAAAGTACGATTTTATTCACTTCAAAAGTTAAATACACGTATTTCAGTGAATGCTACCCAAATACGCAAAAATAATGTTGCAAATTTTCAACATTGACAATACGTATTTTGAAATTGCTCTTTTTTGTAAATTTTAAAAATAAAATGTTTTTTAATAACTGTTAACATTTTTCGGTTAATCAAGAAAATATTTTCATCCATTTTCGCCATTTTCAATTGACACACAAGTAAATAAGGTCCTTGCGTATTTGGGTAATACGGATGTTCAACAAAACCTATAAAGATGAGAAGCATGGCATAATTATGCAAGGTAGTCTCCAAGGTCTTTATAAGGTCGGACAGTAAGCACAGGTGAGTATAAAGTTCGCTGTCAAATCATATTTTGAAACCTATACATACAAAATTATGTCAAAACGAAAATATAAACATTTTGTCAACATTCAATTCAATTTTAATTTACATATCGTCATCATAAATGCAAACGGACGTAACTACAGAAAAATTCGAAATTGACTTTTTGTTTGATTATTGTTCCTCTAATCAAACTACATGTTTAAACAAAAACAGTGATTTAATTAAAGAAATTCAAACGGACGTAACTACAATAGTATGTTTTTATTAATGCAAACGGACGTAACTACTCTCCTGTAAAAACTAAAGCTCTGAACTTATATATGTATGTTTGATATTGAAAATGAGATATATCGGCCTCCACATAGCGGTACCCCACTGGGTGGAAAAGTATGTGCGCTGTACAAATTTTAGTCTCAATCGGATACTTATTCACTTTGTTGTACTACAATTGTGTTGTAATTACGTCCTTTTGTTTCAGAAAATAGCAAGTCAAAAGGACACAACTGACATAAAACCTTTTAAAAAAAAAAAAGATATAATAATTTTTTTTTTTTTCAAAAAATTAATTCGGCTCTTTTCCAGCCATGCTCCATTTTTATAGATTTTATAACGTGTTTTGCTTCTCCTGTATAATTAGAAAAAGTGTAGTTACGTCCGTTTGCATTTATGATGACGATATATTGTTTTTGTAAAACACATTTCTCTTAAAAAATGTTTAAGGGAAAATAAAAACAAGAATTATTCTTCGGAATTTCTTAAATTTAATATTTTTAAGCATAAATAATATCCAAGGAAGTTCAAAAAATAAATTCATTACAAAAGTTTCGGATGAAAATTCATTAATGTTTTTTTTTTTTTTTTTTTTTTTTTTTTGTTTTAACATCAAAAAATGTTAAGAGAACGCATCAACGCTGGTGTTCAAGTCTGTCCAACTATGATTAGATGGCAATACTTCAAAATCAACGTGACAGCTAATCAGAAGTAGGCATTCCTGTTTACCATTTTTACTCGGCTAAATTTCTAAAGTAAAAAGTTTACAAAGAGAACGCCATTTTGTATTGTCCTCTCTTAAATTTGATTCAATGTTTTACCAGTGTTGTGGGTTCAGGAACGGGTTTCGAGTAAAAAGTAGCAAAACTAGTAAAATTAGTAGATTCTTTTAGGTTCTGGAACGGAACTATTATAAACTGTGTTGTGTTTTGGTTGTGTTTATTATTTAAAGGGGAATCAATTAGTTTTCGCCCAAATGGTGCGATATGTGGCTGTATCTTTTCTGGATCAAAAAATATGGGCCCTAGAATCCTATAAAAACAAGGAAAATCGTTTTACATGACAGAATCTCCTTTTTAATAGCATGGTGTTTTTTTGGTGACCGGCCTTTGGCCAGGGATTTAAGACTTTCTCCTATGGACAGATACTAACACCGGCTACGAGACAGAAACTCATTCTAAATAGAATATTGTTTGTGTAGTCGGCCTTCGGCCGGGGGTTTAAGACTTTCTCCTATGGACAGATACTAACATCGGCTACGCGACAGAATCTCTTGTTAAATAGAATAGTTTTTTGGGATGACTGGACTTCACCAACACCAGCTACGCGACAGAAACTCGTTCTAAATAGAATATTTGTTTGTGTTGCCGGCCTTCGGCCGGGGGTTGAAGCTTTCTTCTATGAACAGATACCAACACCGGCTACGCGACAGAATTGCCTTGTTTTTGTAGGGTTCTAAGGCCCATATCTTTTGATCCACAACAGATACAGCCACATATCGCACCATTTTGGAAATATGTAGTCTATCATTTGAGTCAGGGTTGGAGAGGGACTATAATGGACCCAAGTTCGACTTTTAGAGAGTTTTTCAAAAAAATCTGTGACCAACACCCAGGTTTTTTACTATATCTCCAAAACGGTTTGAGATAACTCCATCATAACTTTTAAAATGATACCCATTTTAACCGGATCTGTAGAACCGGATATAACCGGGTACCGTACCCGAACTTTCGGGTCAAATAACCGGGTACGTCCCCCAAGAAAAAAATATATCCCCATAATTAGGGTAAAAATACCTACCTCTGGAAAAAATTTTAGAAAAATCTGATCGTTTTTACTAATTTAGAATTAAGCCGCAGAAGACACTTTGACATGGCTAAAATAATCGTTTCTACACTGTTTTAAACTTCGCCTATCTCCTTTATCTTAAATTGCATTTAAAACTAATTATTTCGAACGTTCCCACGATAGTTGTATTGCTGATTCAAATCTTTTTCCGAACTAATATCATTGTTGCCCCCAAACTGGATTTGATACAACATACGCTATGGTAATAGTAAATTTCGTCCGTAAAACTTACCGAAATTTTACTGCGATGCCTTTCCCCATTCTGAGGTCTGCGGCGACACAGTGAGCCATTGAGTAATCCTCCCCTGCGGAAAACAAATCTCCATATATTTCCTTCAAGGAAAAGCTCATTATTTTAATAAATTAAATAACCAAAATACATTCAAAAGATTTACGCGGGTTCAATTGTGTGAAGTCGTTTGTTTCACAAACGAACTAGTTCACTTGAACGATTCACTGAAAACAATGTGTGAGCTAGGCCAGTTTATGTGGTATTTGGTCCAAATCATGATGCAATAATAAGGTGATGTATCAAAACAAAAACATTTTTGTTGTCTCGATTATCTATCAAATTTTTCCTTATAATATTTCAAAAATTTGGCAGCATTGCACATCGAATTCAAGTAAAATTTAACACTTTGACAGTTAATCAAGACATCAGCTGCTCTAAATGGACTACCTATTCATTGTGCCATGGTCCAAATCATGTTTTTGTTTTGATACATCACCTTATTATTGCATCATGGTCCAAATCAAGGTAGATATGGAGTCTAAACGCAACCATAGAGACTAGAGTCAGCGACAGTCGTTTGTCGTGTGTTTCTTAGAGCCTAAACGCAACCAGAGAGTCACGAGTCAGCGTCATACTTTTTCGCGTGAAAACCAAACGAAAGAGTTGGCGTTAGCGGCACAAAATGTCAATTTTTTGTTTTCATTTTCTGACAGAAAATTTTACGTTGTGCAAACCAAAATCAATTTATTATTTAATAAACAATAATGTCAAGGAACTTGGATAGAATTATTGAAAAATTATTTTTCTTCCATTTTATTATTAATTCGTTAAAAAACGTCCACAACCCTTGAAAATATTTGTTTTTTTTTTAAGCACTGGCATATGTTTTGATATAAATTCCCATTGAAATTTGGTAGCACTGTTGATTTTTACCTAAAATATGGCAACTCAATTGAGAGCAAGAGAGAAATTTTGAGTATGACGCTGAGCAAAAATGAATAAAATCTATTCTAGCGTCATGCCGCTAGACGCGAACGTCAGCCGTCGCGATTTCCCGTTGCCAATAAGAAACACACGGCAAACGACTGTGGCTGACTCTAGACTCTATGATTGCGTTTAGACTCTTATTGGCAACGGGAAATCTCGACGGCTGAGAGTCTAAACGCAACCATAGAGTCTAGAGTCAGCGAGAGTCGTTTGCCGTGTGTTTCTTATTGGCAACGGGAAATCGCGACGGCTGACGTTTGCGTCTAGTGGCATGACGCTAAGAGTCTAAACGCAACCATAGAGTCTAGAGTCAGCGACAGTCGTTTGCCGTGTGTTTCTTAAAGGCAACGGGAAATCGCGACGTCTGACGTTCGCGTCTAGCGGCATGACGCTAGAATAGATTTTATTCATTTTTGCTCAGCGTCATACTCAAAATTTCTCTCTTGTTCTCAATTGAGTTGCCATATTTTAGGTAAAAATCAACAGTGCTACCAAATTTCAATGAGAATTTATATCAAAACATATGACAGTACTGTTAAAAAAGCAAATATTTTCAAAGATTGTGGATGTTTTTTAATGAATTATTAATAAAATGGAAGAAAAATAATTTTTCAATAATTTTATCCAAATTCCTTGACATTATTGTTTATTAAATAATAAATTGATTTTGGTTTGCACAACGTAAAATTTTCTGTCAGAAAATGAAAACAAATAATTGACATTTTGTGCCGCTAACGCTAACTCTTTCGTTTGGTTTTCACGCCGGCGAAAAAGTATGACGCTGACTCGTGACTCTCTGGTTGCGTTTAGACTCTAAAATAGATTTTATTCACTTTTGCTCAGCGTCATACTCAAAATTTCTCTCTTGCTCTCAATTGAGTTGCCATATTTTATGTAAAAATGAACAGTGCTACCAAATTTCAATGAGAATTTATATCAAAACATATGGCAGTGCTGTTAAAAAAACAAATATTTAAGGATTTTTTAACGAATTAATAATAAAATGGAAGAAAAATAATTTTTTCAATAATATTATCCAAGTTCCTTGACATTATTGTTTATTAAATAATAAATTGATTTTGGTTTGCACAACGTAAAATTTTCTGTCGAAAAATGAAAACAAATAATTGACATTTTGTACCGCTAACGCTAACTCTTTCACGCCGGCGAAAAAGTATGACGCTGACTCGTGACTCTCTGGTTGCGTTTAGACTCTGACGTTCACGCCTAGCGGCATGAGAGTCTAAATGCAACCATAGAGTCAGCGACAGTCGTTTGCCGTGTGTTTCTTATTGGCAAGGGGAAATCGCGACGGCTGACGTTTGCGTCTAGTGGCATGACGCTAGAATAGATTTTATTCATTTTTGCTCAGCGTCATACTCAAAATTTCTCTCTTCCATTTTATTTTTAATTTGTTAAAAAAAAACGTCAACAATCTTTGAAAATATTTGTTTTTTTAACAGCACTGCCATATGTTTTGATATAAATTCTCATTGAAATTTGGTAGCACTGTTGATTTTTACATAAAAAATGGCAACTCAATTGAGAGCGAGAGAGAAATTTTGAGTATGACGCTGAGCAAAAATGAATAAAATCTATTCTAGCGTCATGCCGCTAGACGCGAACGTCAGCCGTCGCGATTTCCCGTTGCCAATAAGAAACACACGGCAAACGACTGTCGCTGACTCTAGACTCTATGGTTGCGTTTAGACTCAGAAACACACGGCAAACGACTGTCGCTGACTCTAGACCCTATGGTTGCGTTTAGACTCTAACTCTTTCACTCCGGCGAAAAAGTATGACACTGACTCGTGACTCTCTGGTTGCGTTTAGCCTCATACAAGGTAGCCACATGGGCGAATTTCTACAACAAACATCGGTTGTTGTATTTTGATATGTCAAAAATATTTTACAAAAACAAACAGATTCACAAGATTTTTTTACACAATTTTTTGTAGAAAATGTTAATAAAAGTATTGCCAAACAAGCTATTCGAAATTCGGAGATTTTCATTTATAATATTGTTACGTTCTTGGATTTTGCTTAATCCCGTGAAGACGTTGTTTTATCTCCCGATACAATTCGTACCAAATAAAACGCGGGTTCTTTCTGATTACGATTATTGCAATGATTTTATTCACACGACTTTACTTTGCACTTTACTTTACACGACGGTTTCAATTCGCGATCTGATTCACAACTGACTCACTGCCTTTCCATTCCCTCTATTTATATGAGCCCTGCCTGTCGCTACAGAATTTTCTAGACGATCTGGTAACACCTAGATCACGAACAATCTACCAATGCAACAAACACATTGAGTAACAATAACAACAACAAACTTACTGAGTGAACAATAACAACAACAAACTTGAGTAAACAAACTTACAATAACAACAACACATATACAAAGAAAGATGAATTAAGCGATCATCTATGATGACGTTTAATAAGAATTATACGACAATAACAAAATAGAAAATGAAAGAGGAAATGGAAGGATGTAGAAAAATCTATACAGTGGTTGTTGTTGTGAAGTTATTCAAATAAACTGCGTAGTAGAAATTTACGTTACAATTCAAATTCTTAAATTAACGGAATTCATCTAAATTAACTTAAATCTAAAGTTATATTCGTAACATTGCCCCCCGCTTAAGCCTGTTCGTCCCGAATAGGCACAGTTCCCGTTCCGTAGGGGGTCAGCCGCTCCAAATGTACAACTTTCATCTTCGACCTGGGACTGTCGCTCCTCTGGATGCGATAAACGACGTCATTTATTTTCGTGACAATCTTGTAGGGTCCTTCCCAGTGCGTTTGCAATTTGGGGCATAGTCCTTTCTTTCGTTGTGGGTTGAACAATAGTACCAGTTGCCCTTCTTGAAACCCATCGGTATTTGCCGCTCGATCGTACCTTGCCTTCATGCGGTTGCTAACCATTTTTATTCGATGTCGGACTGCATCGTGGACTTTACTAAAAGAGTTTTGGCTGTCTTCATCTTGGTTCACATCGTCGTTTGGGGTAGCACCGAATATCAAATCGCCAGGTAGCTTTAATTCATTTCCGAACAGAACTTTGGCTGGGGTCCGGGATGTGGAATCATGAATGGCCGATCTATAAGCCAATAAAAACTTCGGAATATGCTCATCCCAGTCTCGTTGGCCACTGTCCACCACTTTCCGTAGATGTTCTTCAAGGGTGCGATTGAATCTTTCCACCATGCCATCTGATTGTGGATGTAGGGGCGTCGTTCTGGTTTTCTTAATTCCGTAGGAGTCACACATTTCCTTGAAGATCGCTGATTCAAAATTCCTACCTTGATCGGAATGAACCTCAGACGGAACACCATAGCGACAAATCCAATTTTTGCTGAACACATCCACAATTGTCCTGGCTTCTTGATTTGGGATAGCATAAACCTCCGGCCATTTACTGAAGTAATCCATGACCACTAAGACATACCGGTTCCCAGAGTCGCTTGTGGGGAACGGTCCAGCTACATCCATTGCGATTCTTTCAAAAGGGGCTCCTGCATGTAGCCTCGACTGCTGCATGTAGCCTCGACTCTTCCGTGTTGGACCTTTAGTTTTTATGCACCTTTCACAATTGGCGATCCAGTCGGCAATGGATTTTTGACAGCCGACCCAGTAGAATCTCTGCTTTACCTTTTCAGCGGTCTTTGCTATGCCAAGATGTCCTCCACTTGGCCCATCGTGAAACTCCGACAAGACATCTCTTATTTTGGAGTCTGGGACGACGATCAAGTTCCGGTGAGATTTACCGTCCTCACTTTCCCATTTGCGATATAGGCAACCATCTTTTATAAGTAGACTGTCCCACTGGGCCCAATAGGATTTTAAAAGAGGGCTTTCGGAGGTAATTTCTTTACGACTAGGTCGCTTGCCCGTTTCAATGGCCGAAATTACTTTGCCCAGAATGGGATCTCTTCGTTGTTCCGTCGACCAATCTTCACCCGACTCAAACTGCAATAGTCGGACATCAACGATATTCTCCTTATTCTCAGCCTTTGAGCAATGCCTGCATTCTACCTTGCATGGCCGACGAGACAGGGCATCAGCATTACCGTGTTTTCCGCCTTTTCTGTGCTCGATTCTGAAATCATAACTCTGGAGC